TATATATATATATATATATAGTATAATAAAATAAAATAAAATACTAAGTGAGAAAGCTGTATAACCTACAAGGCCAAAGAAGAAAGAAATCTGATTCCAAGAAACATAACAATTGAAGATACAGAAAAAGTCTGTGGACTAAAATGGAAACCTATGATGATATAGATTTATATTTATCTTGATCAAATTTTCAATCGTTAATAAAATACTTTTTATTCTTGAACGGAACTTCAAATACATTTTTTAAACTTGTACCGGATGACACTTAATGTTGATACAGATTTTCAAATATTAATTCCTAAATTATATTTTATTTTTAAATTTATCATGCGTTATTTTAAAAAAGTTAGATTTATCAGCAACAGATGGTACAAGTAAGTTTTTCTAATGAAGTAGGCATTGACTTTAATTTTTTTTATCTAAGAATATTGGCATAGCAATGCAAGAAATTGAACTCTAGAATTCTAGCCACTTAAGACTCCAAAATTTTAGCATTAGAATGTTCGATCATGAGATAATACCTGCACACACGTTTATTTGGTACATGTTTTTTTTTAATCTTTAAATTGTACTCTTCTTTTTATTTAGGACACCGAAAACTTTTTTCAATAAAAAAATATTTTTATTTTCTTAAAAGGCTAAGAGTTTCTAAAAATTTCTTTTTTGACAAGAAACTTGTAAATTTAATTAATTTTTGTACAAAATTTCTTTTGGGGGGAAATTTTTGGATTTTGCGTGTCGCATTAAGAGCAAAGCCCTAATTAAATAATTGCGTGCATGGGATGCAATTATGAGCCTCCATTTTTATGAACAAGTTTTATAAATGTAAGAATTTTTTTTTTTTGGCCCATTTGTTAAACGCAATGATTTTTTTTTTTTTTTTAGTACTTATTTACCTTAAGTACCTAAAGCAATGTATTGCATCTTTTGATTTTACCCAATATCTATTCATTTATAGTTCCCCAATATTTTTTTATTGTTTTGGAAATTCTCTAAATGTTTATAAACTAGTATAAGAGATTAAAATTGCTCACCTTAATTGCAATCTTTAACATACTAAGCAAGATAATAGCTTGATATTTGTAAGTAAATGTAATAAGACGAATTAAGTAAAAATATTTTGATTACTTGCTCCTAAACTCTCTTGCATCTATGCTTTTATATTTATTCAAACTTTTCTTCAAACTACGCAATGTTCCCAATATTTTACTAAATTTATTATAGTTAAAACCATTTATGGGGAAAAAAGTCTTGCTCTTTCTCGTACTCTCAAAATGTTTCCAACTAACCTATAAAGATCTCTGTTTTATGAATTATTTGATTGATTTCAAGTCATCGTTTTGTGATATATGTCGACCAGGTTTGATATTTGAAGAGATCTGAAGTGTGAACGCGTAAAAGATGTTAAGATTGTAGTTGTAACTCATAAGAGGTTTTGGGGTCGAAGATTTAAATACCGGGTGTCTCAAAAGTCACGCACATCAACATTTGTGCTTGAGTTTTAAAGACAGATTAATTATGTTAACAAACAGAATAAAGGTCAAAAACAAAGCGTTGAACGGTTACCTTTATTGTCAGGTGTCAGACATGGTAAAATGAGAGTAAATATTCAAAATGATGTCCGTTTTCCTGGACACACAATCGAACTCTTTTTACCGGATTAATTGGCACTTTACGAAGAGCATGAGAATTAATGTCCTATATTGCATGAAGAATGTTACTCTTAAGTTCGTCGAACGTATAGGGATTATTCCTGAAGGTGAGATGTTTCAGATATCCCCAAAGAAAAAAAATCCTGAATTGACAAGTCCGGTAAACGAGTTGTCCAGTCCCTTAAAAATGACACGAACATCGAAAAATTCAGTTAAAACTTCCATACTGTCCCGTGATGTGTGACAAATTGCGCCGCCTTGCTGCAACCAAGCGTACCTTTCATCACTTTCATCAAGGATATGAATTTTGTAATGATTTTTATGTAGACGGACTGTCTTTTCAATTGACTTCTTTGTAAAACGGTCTCCACATCAGCCACTTTTGTTTTCATTATGAACGCTCTACCCGATCGCTTCCTGTCTGCAACTAATCCTGTGTCACATAAACGTTGCACTAAAAATGTTATCATTGATGCATTTGGTGCTGTTTCATCTGTATATTTCTACCGAAATGCATTTATCACACGGCAATGAGATTTTATAGCGAAATAAAACTCCCTGATGGCTATTTGCCCTTGGGAAAATATCATGCACCTCCCGTTGTGCTCAACTGACTACAACTGACAAGTATTTTGAAACTGATGCCAGATACGTTCAAAACTTCTTATGATGGGGTCTCTGTTGCCCTCTAGTGAAAGAAATCTCAACCAATCCTTTTGGGTTTTAAGCTACAAGGATTACCATGTGGATGTGCGTGACTTTTGAAACACCCGGTAATAATTTTGATTATTTGTTATTGAAATTGGTGAGTTGGATTAAAACTCCTGGAGCTGTGTGTGACTACTGTTTGAACTTAGATTTGGTGCCTCCCAGGCTGTAATTGAAATCTTCGTATAAAAGCTAAGATACTCTTTATTGTTATTGGTAAGGATTCGAGGTTTATTTCGTTCTCTGCGGTTATTTCTAATAAGACGGTGCTTCTCAAACTTTCAATATTTGCGACCCAATACTCAATCACACTTTTCATCGCCTTCCCCCTCCATACAATGACAATGTGTTGAGTTCAACAATAATATACTTTGATGCTAAGCCTACCATACCGCTTTAACCTCTTAAGTGCCAGTGGCGTATATAAACGTCTCACTCAGCCAGTGAGTTAATTGAGCCGAACGTATATATATGTCTTTCCGAAGTACGATCTTTTCTGTGTATTGCTATCCATAAAACTATTCTGAAGGCTTTGGAATGTAATAAAAGGACCTTGACAGTGTTTGCGAAAAATTTACTTATTTCAGAGGATTTGCTGGAAAATTCCTCTTTTCTACGCCCCCCCCCCCAAATACACCACATACGCTAGGCTACGAGTTAAACGGTGGCATTGAGGAGCGAATCATGTAATTTTTAATTGGCATTTAAGAGATTAATTATAAAGTGTACGAATTATCAAGATCAGTGTTAATTTCTGTATATAATTTTATATATAACAAGCCCATGGCGTCACTGGTAATTATTAAACTTTTTCTTCACTTAGTATTGTTAAATTAATTTTAAAATACATTGTGCAGTATTGATATATTTATAAGTATATTATATCAATGTAAATGCCTCCCCACCTAGTGGGGTGTTTATGACACTCGCCTTGTAATCGAGTGGGTTCGGATTCGAATCCCGAGTAAGGCATGGATGTATCTTCGAGAAAAGAAATCGGACTTTTCCTGAAATGGATTCCCGTCTCGAAAGGAAAGCAGCGTCTCTTCTGTTCTTTGCTGGCATCATCGTTTGTAATTAAATTTGTATTCTTCTGTGATTGTGTTATATGCTTCTGTTCATCTTTCTCACGTCTTTCGTATGTATCCCAGTAATAAACACACGACAACAACAACAACATCAGTGTAAATGGGTACTTTATTTTTTTATTATGTCAGAATGTATTTTGTTTGTTTACTTTCAGTAAATTAACAATTTTTTAAATAATCTTTTGTTTTCGATTTTTCAATATGCTCGAACAGCCTCGTAGGGTTATCCCCCCCCCCCCCCCTAGAGGGTGAGCTCCACAGTTTGAGAAACACAGCGCAAAGATGTCAATATATTAAGATATTAGATTAACTACATTTGTTGAATTTTACAATGTATCTTTTCACTTAACATTACCCCAGACTAATATGAATTCGGCTTAGTTTCAATACAAATGAATATTTATAGGTTTCTGAAACG